ATGAGTTCAGATGGGTCAGGGTGGGTAAGTCCTTGTGAACAGTGCAGGGTGGGCACATCTGTCCCTGTGGGTGATGGCTTGACACCAAAGTGTCCCATTCACAGCTGCTTGCCACCAGGGTAACTCCAGCTTTGTAGCAGCATGGCCAGGGCAGCAGCTGTCACACCTCTTCCTTCCCCTGCAAAGTCTGCCCTCCCTGTTACAGAAGGCTGTTTTATTTAGAAGCATGATTTTACATATTTTTTAAAAACATTACCTGGGTGCCAGTGCTGTCTCAGTTATGTTGTGTTGTTGTGCACCAGGGTGCAGCTCTGGTGCAGTAACTGCAGTCAAAATACAGAGGAGGGAGAAAACAGATAATCTTAAACCTTTTTGGGTCCTGGGGAGGGACTTCTTACTGGGGTGTGTAGTGATAGGATGAGGGGTAATGGTTTTAAGCTGGAAGAGATTTAGAGTTAGACATTAGAAAGGAATTCTTAAGTGTGAGGGTGGTGAGACACTGACCCAGGTTGCCTTGAGAAGCTGTGGCTGCCCCCTGTCTGGAAGTGTTCAAGGGCAGGTTGGATGGGGCTCTGAACAACCTGGTCTAGTGGGAGGTGTCCCTGCCCATGCAGGGGGGTTGGGACTAGATGATCTGTAAGGTCCCTCCCCTTGCCATTTTATGATTCTAACCCATCTGTGAAGAGGCAAAGCCTTACTAAGCTCTCCTCCAGGAGATCAAACCCCCATTGCTCGAAGGGCCTTTGGATCATTTCCACCTGTGCTCACATTTTTTTGCCTTTCAGCACTGTGTGCTGTGCATTATATCCTGGAAACTACCAAATCTCAACTACCGAGGGGGAAAAGTTTCATTTCCAGTTAATCAAGGGAGTTGTGTAATACCATTTTCTCCCGGGGAACTTCCAGAAAAAAAGAAAGGAGACGTGGGGGGGAGAAGGGGGGTATTATATAAAGCAGGTATATTAAGAGGAAATAAATTATGAATTAAAAGTGATTAGTGAACTTTTAAGGAGGAGGTCAGAAGTGCCTTTTGGACTACAAACTTTTTAAGCTTTCAGTGCTTGTATTTGGTTACAGAGTTATAACCAGGCCTTATTTGTGCAGGTGGCTGCTGCTTCACATCCAAAGAAGGATTTTGCATTTACAATAGGTATATTGACAGAACTGGGTCAGAAAGCTACTCATGGCCAGCTTCAATGCTGTGGATGAGGGCTCAGCTGCCTCCTGTGCAGGGGGAGCTGCTCCCCAAAACGTGCTTAATTAAGCAGCAGCATCCCAGCTACAGTTCCTGGCTGGGATGCTCCAGAAGGGGAAGCTTGGGAAGTTCAGCAGATACATTTATTTCTTTTTTTAAGGGTCCTGATGTTGACCAGGTGAACTGGCTTCATGTTTGCTTCAAAAGCTTTCCATCTTTATTGATTTTAATAATAATCAAGAATTTTGTTAACTGCATCTTGTTGGCTGTAGTTTTTTATATCTGATCAGTCTTGTTAGGGTTCAGCTGTGCAAAGAGAAGGGCTTGCACCTGGTGGTGTTTGAGGGCAGTGAACTTAGGGAGTCTCTGCTTGATATTTGATGTATTAAAACAATACCTACAGCTCAGAAAACTTCCCTCTTAATAGAGGTTGGTGGAGTGGAGCAGATCTGTTATTATATGGGGAAATATTGGAGTTCACACAGCCAGTGTGTGCCAGTGGGATGACCTGGATGAAAGGGAGCAGCAGCTCTGCTCACTCTTTCATCTCTTTGGAAGAAAACTCCTAGATTTCCCCTAAAGGAATGGGATGTTGTGCCCCTTTCCCACAGCACCAGCATTGCCTGGGCTGGGCAGTGGTCCGAGCCCTTCCTCGAAGGCAGAGTCTGGAGGAGTGGTGAGGCAGGGCTGGTTCCAAACCCCACTGACTGGCAGAGTAAACCGTGTTCACTTCGTTTGTAATTGAAAACATAATAGTCACCACAGTGTGTTTTTTCACACGATCCCTTTGCCCTGAGTATTGCAGAGTTCACAGCCACAATTTTAGTGTTATGGTTTTTTCTCCTCTATCCAAGCCCCTGCTCATCCTAGGTCAGACTTGTCGTGTCTGCCAGACCTTCCAAAGCACTTGGATGTGTAGAGGTACCACAAAAGGTGCTGGCACGTTGGGGTTTTCGTGGCATATCACACTTCATTCCTTGCTGGAGACAATGTGGAATGATGGCTTTGTTTCTATCGTGTTTGACTGGAGCTGGCTCTGGGTTCCTGTTGATAATGTCTCTTATATTCCCCCTCTCCAACTTTTGCTGGCCAGGCAGTCTGGCTTAAATCTGTTTTACCCCAAAAATGCAGAGTTTTATATGCATCTAGGTATTGTGGGCTGGATAAGACCTTTTGTTCTTATTAATGCATTTTTTAGGTATTAAATATATATGCACAGTTTAATATAAAGCTCTTTTTATACATCAGCTCATGGCAAACTCCCAGGAGGAACAAGTTAAAATTCCCTTCTCCTCTTTCTTTATTTGCACATGGTGTTTACCTCTGGAAATAGGTAAGAAGTACTCTAAAAGCTGTATTTCTCCCTGGAAAACCAATGGCAGCACTTCCATTCATCTGGAGCTCTTGGAGCAAAGGCCTGGCCCATCCTGCTCCAGCTGCACAAGGAAGTGTTTCTGCTGAGGTTCTGAATCCAGAGGAATTTTTAGTGCCTGAGAATAATTTGACATTTGGTTTAAAGCATCTGTGACCAAGAGCTTTTCTATTGTAATATCCTCCCAGAGTGGTTGGGTCAGTAAGCATCCAGCAGGTTGCCCAGGGCTGTAGTTACTGTGAAGGATGGTATGTCTCTGGATGATGGGTTTGATGTCAGTCATCTGGGGGCAATCCTGCCACCAGTTCTTCTTAGAGGCACGTCTCAAATACCTCTGCAGCTTGGGGTCGTCAGTGTTTATTAGAGTTATCCATATAGAAAATGAATGTCCTTTGTTTTCTTCTTGTTTGCCATTGCACTAGCAGGCATGAGGAGGCATTTTGCCTGGTGTTCCTGAATAACCAGTTCTTATTAAAAAAAAACAAAACAGACCCAAACCGAACAAACCCCAAAACTAAGAACTCAGAAAATATGAACTAAGTCAAAATGAACCTGTGACTGCTCACTAGGAAGTCTTGTAGACTTTGTAGCAGCTGGTGGACCTGAAAATGTTGAGGTTTACTTTGAAGTTCCTATGATTTGGTTGAAATATAACTAATAATAAATAAAGTGGACTGAAATGTCATCCTCTTGATAGGAAGGACACTAGATAGATTAATGTAAGTAGGCACAAAGGTTAGTTTGAGTTATGTGGAAGAACCTGCAGGAAGTAGAAAATTAACTAATATCTTGTCTTTTGTGGAAATCAATCCATTGTATTCTAGAACTTTTCCAAAGAGGTCAAATCAGAGAAATGCAAGATACGCTGATCCTTGTTTATAGATTCTTTAGTGCTGTAAAGCAGGTACCTGTTCTACAGTAAAGTCTAGGGTTTGTTTGTGTGTTTAGAGAATTGTCTCTCCTGCCTCTGTGTAGCTGAGAGCAGTGGAGCTGTAGCAGTTGAATGGGAATCTGTTTTGCAAACACAGATACTAGATGTGTTTTCAAAATACAGGCAGATGCACAGAGCAGTCTTCTGGACTGCTGGAACCAAGGTGAAGAGCAATAAAGACTGAGCAGCTAAAAAAACCAGAGTTGAATGTACTCTGTCGTGTTAACCTAATTATCTTGTGACTGTACCTGGACATCAGGTATCCAGATTCAGCCACAAACCACTGGGAAGGAGGCACATCACTGATGCTTTCAGATCCGAGAAAATCCCAACGTAACAGCTCAATTCAGCCTGTAGCAGGATCCTTCCTTTGGCTGCTGCTGGATGGTGGATCAGGTCCCTTGAGATCATTTTTTTGGTCGACCAAGCTCCTGCCCTTCCTCAGTCACCCAGTTTGTTGGTGCTGGTGCAGAATCAGCCTCTGTTGTGATTGTCAGCATATACCTGACATGATGGAAATGTGTAAATACTTCTATTCTTTGTGCTGTTTTCTCTCTCTCTCTCTTTCACTCTCTGTGTCTGTATATATATATGTAGTCAACTGGCTTCAAGAGTTGTCCACTGTTGCAGCAGCTGCCAAGGCTGATCTGCAGGGCTTCAATTCCTCTGTAAAAGCTGGGAAGCTCACTCTTAAAACCCCAATATAAGTCTTCCATGGCTAATTAGGTGGGTTTTTTTGCATTTCAAAATATGTACAAATATTGTAAACCAAATAAGGTTTATATGTACCCAAGATCAGCCACTAAGTATGTCAAATAGAAAGCCTGTCACTTGTAGGTACCCAAATATTTACAAAGTGTGTCCTGAATGAGGAATTGGATACCTTGCTCAGCTCTGCCAAATTATTTAATGGTCTTTTTCACTTATTAAGCTAGATGTCTAATCTACTGAAACCTTAAAAAACACACCCAGGGCCTGGACACTGGCAGCCAAACACATCTCAGAGGGTTTGGTAGAAATTACCATTGCTTTGTTGAGATAGCCAGCAACATCCCACTGACCCGCAGGGCTGAGAAGAAAGATTGAGTGGAAAAAAAAACGCCACCTCCCATCAAAACCAAACATTAAAAAAAAAAAAAAAAGCCCATGATGGTGTTTAATGAAGTGCAGAGGTGAAGGTTGAGCTGGGAAGAAGATGAGAGCTGCATGGGTGGGTCACTGCAGAAACACCTCTTCCCTTCCTATTCCCCCTGTGGCTTTTCCAATGGTAGCCAACAAAAGCTTATCCCCTTTTTTTTTTTTAACTTTTATTTTTTCTCCATTGAAACTTTTCAAAGCCTCTGAGTCTTGCAGTGCTGTACCCCACGCAGGGCCCTTTTTCTCTCCTGCTTTTGATTTTATGCACATTTCAAGCTGGTCAGGGAGTACATGGGGCTTTTGCAAGGTTTTTTGTTTAGGCTTAATGACGAGGTTTTAGCTTTCATGCTACCAACCTTCCCAAGATTATTGCCTATTAATTGGTCCTTGATAAAGGTGCTGACCAAGGAAAGGAATATTTTTTTTTCTTAGTGCTAGATTTCCAAACTTGATTGGTTTTATTAAATGGAAAGACAAATTTAAACCCCACACTGAAATATCAGTGTAGGACACCAGCGGCTAGAGGTCACCAAGTCATTTGGATTTCCTCCCAAGAAAAGCAACATCATTTTTCAGTGTCCAGCCCCATGGCATCCTGTGGTGCCTTGCACAATTCCTTACTGTCCACACCTGCTCTGTGCTGCTCAGAGCAGGGCTGAGTCCATTTGGATGGGGCAGGATCAGTCCCCAAGAGATTTCTATTATACTCGTGGTTTGCAGCCCTGTTTGATCTCCTGCAGCACAGTAAGATAAAAGCATGTGGTTGGGATTTCCTTTTGTTATTAAAGCAAAAAAAAACCCCATTTTATAAGGAAAGAACCCCTTTCTTTCAGCTTCTGAAGGATGTTACTATTCAGAAGAGTGATCTCCACTCACCTTTTTTTTTTTTTTTTTTTGCTTTGGAATAAGCAGAACCCTTTGTTCTGTACTTTGGTTTCCTCTGTGAAATGGGGATAACAGCCTTTTCCTGGTAGCAGTCCTGTGCGGATCCATCAGAGTTGCATCCATGCCCTGGAGTATGGGCCACAGGCTGCTGTGTAATTTCTCAGCATGGAGATACCAGTATTAAGGAGGATGTGAGACCCTCTTACGGTGTTAATAAGATTTTTGCAGCAGGTCTTGTACACGTAGGTGGGTGGGTCGTAGCCACAGATGGAATGGCCAGATAGGGCCATTCTGAGAGAAGAAGGACCATGCCCAAATTCAGTGTAGTGTTTTGCCTGCCTTGTAGGGCTGTCACTTCAGTGCAGGTCCTCATTCATTATTATTTTCTGTAATGGACCTCTTGTACTCTCCATAGCTTTATACCATGGGTAGGGATGGGGAGTGATGGAGGTTGAAAACAGCATCCTTCTGGGGAGGTCAGCTGCTGAGTTTGTAGGTGCAAGTCAGTGCAACCAAGGAGGCATAATCTGAATTTCCTAATAAAACAGTGAATCAGAGAGGTAGAGTTGTACTGGGGCAGAAGAAGTAAAGGAGGCCAGATGTACCATCCTCATGGTATAACCCCACACTGCTTGCCTTCCCTTTCCAAGGGTGCGTGGGCTGTAGTGCTGCTTCTGGATACCTTTGCCTCCAGCAGATCTCCTCCTGTGAAGAGTGTCTGTGGTGTTTTGCTGACGGTCCCAAAGGCATCTCTCTCCATGTTTAATTTTCTGTCTTCTCGACTTCACTCTCTACTGGTTTTCTGCAAAACCCATTCTCTGGCTGCCTTTTGGCATCACTACAGGCTTCTCTGTGCTGGACCCCCCTTGCCATAAAAAAGGTGGGTGGTGACCTAGTGACTAAGACAACTCATCCTCTGAGAAATGATCTCTTGGAAGAGCCATCTTGGGCATGATCTACACTTCGGCATGGACTAAGCTCTTCTATTCCTTGGGTTGAAAGCAGTGTCTCACCCAGCCCTCACCATCAAGGGCATGTTATGCCTTCTAAGCAATTTCAGCTCTGGAGAGTATGTTTGTTTCTCATGTTTAAAAAAAAAAAAGGGGAAGGGGAAAAAAAAAAAAGGGAATCTGAGGTTACTGTTTTGCTGGAAAAATGTCAAGACTCGATTGGCAATATCCCGCTAAACCACAAGTTTGTAGGAGAGAAAACAAAACCATTGGATTTTCTAAACTCTGCCTGTGCTTGCTTTTAGAAAAATGTAAAGCATATAGGTCAGTTCTGCTCTTATTATAGCTGTGGCCAGTGGATATATCATTGGAACGTGGAAATGCCACCCTATGCTGTTCCATGAATGAAGGGAAAACAAATCTTCAGTATCCCTGGGTTCACATAGTGTATAGGAACCCTATTGTCTTTTTTTTTTCCTCTTTTTTTTTTTTTTAAGCCAGTTTTAGTTTTCAGATGTATTTTATTGTCTGTGGGAACATGTGTTTTACAGACCTGTCATGTGAAAGCTATTAGCAAGAGGAACTGGAGAAATAACAATAAGCCACGTAACCGTGGCAATGTCTACTCCCCGGGTTCAACCCTCGGGCCGCCGCTTGGAGCGCCTGTGAAATCGGATCGTGCCAAGCGACATCAGCTCTTCTCCTGCCATTTTTCATTGGGAAACTCAGGAATTATTTTTTTCCAAGTGGCCTATTAATACCGGATTGCTGGCATCAGAGGCATGCCGTGGGGCCAGGCTGGCCAGGCATCAAAACAGTTAAATGGTGGAATGAAGATCAACTGGGTTCACACGAGATGTCCGGTTTTATTTACCCAACCTGAGCCGGGCGAGCGGGTTGGAAACCTTTCCTCACCCCTTCACACATGAGGTGGAAACTGGGCTGCCCTGCCCAGCACTTGCCATTAACCCTTTTCCAGAGTTTTTAGAGAGGATCTGAAATGTCCCTGAGAGGTGGCCTGAGCTCTTGGGTACCTGAGAGGCTTCAGCTCTGTCCCTGCTCACACAGAGCAGATGATGGAGACTAACAAAACCCCCTAATAATCCTGGAGTAGGTAAACCTGGTAACATGTAGGAAAGGAGCCAAAATGGATTGTGCAAAGTGAAATGCAGAAAGTGGCTCATATGGAGATGGAAAACGTTAGTTTGACACACTGGATGGTGTCTTTGCTAATCACATCTAGTAGATCACAATTATTAAAACTGTGCTATTGACAAATTTCACTGAAACCCAACAGCACTTCATTATTTTTAGATAAACTTTTTTTTTTTTTTTTAATTTTAGAAGGAATATCCCTCTGATGTCTTAGACTTCTAGCTGTGTAAACAAACCCACAGATACTTAAGCAAGTTAGTGGTCAACAATTACTCCCTAATGCTTTCTGTAGGATCTGGGTGTGAGACTTGTCTTGGCCCAAGGACAGTTTGAACCACTCTTCAGTTTGTTTTCACTTTACCTGGGTTTCGCTCTGCTAGTGGGAGGAGGGTTTCCTGTACTTTGTGGCTTGTGATTTACTCTTGAACCAAGTTTCAGGGAATTTGGTGCTTGTTTTGGTAGGGATGTAGTGCTTCTCTCTGTGATGGGCTTGGTAGGAAAGATGGATGGGGAATCTGAGGCCAAAGGAGGGTGGTTGCCCTGCCCTCCCATCATGGCTGGGAGATAACCCAGGGCTCTCAGGTTTGAGGCAACACTTGTATTTCTCTGAAATACTTAAAAGAATATGGACCTGGACATCTGCAGCAGTTTTGAAGTGTCCCCTCTGTAGCTCACATCCTAACCCATCAGCCTGTGGTTTTGAGCCCATCTCTTCCATGTCTGGTGCAAAGGTCCTGCTGAGCTGTGCAGACACAGATCCCCTGCACAGAGGGTTCACAAATAGCATTTGAAAGCATTTTAAATAGCATTTTCTTGGGGCTTTAATGTGACTGAAGGTGAACAGGCTCAGATGGGAGTTGAGCAGCTCTTGTGGATTAACGGTCTGAGAGAGTGCCCAGGTTCCCCTTGCACAGATGGGTCAAGGATGGGTGTCCTGCTCAAAGCACAGTCTTACAGTGTTAGTAGGTACAAACATAGCTGTACCCTGAAAAAACAAGAGAGGAGGGAGCTGAGGAAGGCTTCAGAGGCACTAAAATAATGGGGATGGAGTGTAGCTGGGCTGACCAGGTAGGAGAAGCTGTGCTGATACTCGATCCTCTGGTGTTTGTTTGCACAGCTCTGGGCTGCCTGCCTGTGGGGCAACCAGCAGAGCATCAGGCTCTCCCAGGAGAAAAGTGCCAGGTTCGTTTTCATGGCTTTCTGCAGAGGGATTGCTTTGGGGGTCCATTCCTGTAAGTTAATATTTGCAGTGCACAAGGCTTAACTGAAACCAGGCAGTGCAGACATCTGATAACCATAACAGAGGAGATGCTTTTTCCCTGCAAGAACGACTTGGAAAAACAAACCCCAATGTTATTCCCTTTGGAAAGATAGCAGTATGAAAATCAGGAATGGTGCTGCGTGGCCTGCAAGTGGTTTTCTAGTTCGGGGGGGGGTGTTCATTTTTTATTATTTTTTTTGTGTGAGTTGCTCGTGTTTGCCTGCATTGCTGATGGGTTTGGTTATTGTCTCCCCTTGTAGCCGGGTTGCCCTTCCTCATCATCGAAACCAGCACAATCCAGCCCTACCAGAGGGGCTTCTACTGCGACGACGACAGCATCAGGTACCCCCTGAAGACGATGGAGACAATCAACGATGCGGTGCTTTGTGCTGCAGGCATCCTCATTGCCATCCTTGCTGTAAGTACCAAAACCTCCTCTCCTGCCTCTTGGCCATCCTTGATGATTTTTTGTCACAGCTGATGCCACCGGTGACCCATCAGTGTTGAGCACCGTCTTGCTGGTGTGTTCATCGTGTCTACCAATCTCCTCTGCTATTATCTAGCTTCTGTGTGAGCGTGGAGCAGTAAACATTTGCAAATGAAAGCTTGTAATGGGAGGAATGAGATTACTCTTGAAGCCCATAAACAGGCCCAAAGCTGTTTGGGCAAGTCTGTGAGCTCCACAAGAGCTTTTTCACCCTCCGGAATGAGTTCAGAGTAGAAGCAAGCAGACTTGAGTGTCAATAAGGACTTGGCAGGGTTTGTCCCTATTCAAATAACTCCTGGTATTTGCCTATTTTATAAAGTTAAAACAAAAAGAAAAAACAAGATACATCTTTTCAGCTAACCAGTGCCTGGAAAAGTTTCACAGGTTAGTATTAGATTTTTAAGAGATTGTATATTGCAGCCTTATTACAAAGACAATTAAAACCTTCCACGGGCAGCACATTCCCAGAGTTCTCACTGTAAAAAGTAGTTAATGCACCACCTTCCCAATGCCTCCTCATTTCTCTTTTCTTGCCAGGTTTCCTAGAGCTGTGCTAGGAAATGATTACATGGTAAGAGCTTTATATATCAGCCAAAAAAGCTGAATTCAGCCCAAGGAGTTGAGCTTCCTTACATCAGCACATACCTGGTTCTGGGGCAGAAGGCAAGAGCTGTCTCCTGCTTGCTGTTTAAATTATTCCAGCTGAAGATCAAATTCCTCTATGAAAGTACCTCCATTTTCCTTCTCACCTGCTGCCAACAGACCTCAGGTGCTTTCCCAGAGGTGGGCTTCCATCCTTTTGGTCCTGCAACTGAGGAAGGATGGATACAAAGAGTTCAGGAGCACTTGTTTCCCTCCTTGCTTTTATCTTTCATACTAGGAGCAATGTCACAGGCAATAGGTATTGCAGCATGGCAGGGTGCCTGCTTTGGTTATACCCCGTCCCCAGCCTTGCTGTGAATATCTCCATCATTTCCTGATCTCTCCACCATATCCTGACCATGCTTTGCAAGGTAGGTCCCCAAAACTGCCTCATTCCTGTGACCCCACACTCCTCCTAACAAGCCCAGAAGGTGCCAGACCCTCAAATCTATAAACACAGCAGAATTTTGCCCTGCAGGTGAATTACCCCCAAGTGTGGAAAAGCCATAAAAAGTGAAATAAAAAAGCCTCTCATTTTTGCATTACTGCCTAAGCTATCAGCATGCCAGCTCTGTGTGGAGTGGGCTTCTGATCAGTAATGAGGCAGTGGCAAATACAGGAGTTGGAACAGAAACTGGAAACATAATCAGCTGCTGATGTGATCCATCAGCTTTCTCCCATGGAATAGCAGGTCAATTAAAAGAGAAAGAAAATCCCCAAAGAATTAGATATTTCTGCCCTGGTTTTGCTGTGCCCACAACAAATGTAACTTAATAAGGTAAATTAAAAAGCTGGGTTATTTGCTGTTGAGTGATACAAGTGGCTAACGAGGAATGGAAGCAACAGATTTCTTTGCTATGGCAGAGTGTGTGGAAAATTCAAGTCAGCCTGACCTCTTTTTTCAGATGTAACCCAGATACCAGCACTGCTGCAGCATGGTAGGAATTCCTTCCAAATCCAGAGAGCACTGACTCTGCTCTCCTTTTGCTCACAATGTCTGCTTCTGGAAGGCAGGACAGTGGTTGTGAGGACTTGCAGGGAGCTGACCTTCTGGATGGCGCAGCCAAAATTTCACACCCTTACTTAATGTGCTGTCGTGGTCAGTTCTAGCCTTGGGTAAAAGGTCCAGGTCAGGTTTTAAATGGCTTGAGGACACCCAGAGTGCTCATTAATGGCAGAGGCGAAGACCTTTGCTTCAATCAGGATGTGAGAGGTTACGCATTTGGTTTTAATAGCTGTATATTTACTGACTTCAGGCAAATGTCTGTGCAGATGACCTCGTGCCCCTGGGCTGTGCACCTTCACATCACCCCTGACTACTCTTCTTGCTGGAAGATGGTTAAATTGATCATCTTGAGCATGGAGGCATGTTGATGGTCCCTGGGATGGCCAGGGAATGGTGACATTTTCTTCTTCCTGAGCTTTGCCTGAGTACTGCTGCTGAGCTGCCCTGTGTCCCCACACTTGATAGGTCTTAAAAGCCAATGAAAAATACCTAAGAAAGTTAATTTGGTAGATGATCTAAATTGCACAGCTGGATTAGCTGATTGTTTTACAGTTAAAGGTGATACACTTCAGTGTGATTAAACACAGAGAATGTTCCACCAGAGACGTAAGTAATTAGAAAAGCTCTAAAAGTAATGACAGGCTAAGGGGGTTGCTGGTGATACTTTATAATCATGATAAAAGGGCACAACAACCACAAGTCTGCAGAAGGCATTCACAGAGAAGCTTAATGTTGGCTTCTCTCTAGTGACCATCTTTCTGAAATGTGTGTGACAGTCCCCTGGGAGCTGTGCTCACCTCATGGGTATGGCTCATGTCCCATGCAGATGGCTCGCCAGAAGCACACGGTGTAAGAAACAGCCTAATATCTTTTAAGACTTGTTTTCTTTTCAAGATGTCCTTTCAGTTGGTGCACATCTGTGCTGCATGAGTATTTCACCATCCTGCTCTATCTGGGACAGCACTGCCAAAGAAACAAGTTCACCCCATTTTTAGCTTCTCGTTAAGGCTGAGCTGTGGCTGTAGCTGAGCAGGGAGAGTTCATGGCTGCCCAGCAGTGTGCTAGTGAGGGAATCAAGTCTCCAGTTTACAATCTGCTACATCTGTGCAATTACCCAGACCACCAACGGGGAGAGAAAAATATTAATCCCCAGACTTTTGTTGGTCCCCTTTTTTAAATGGTCACATGCCTTTCCCAGGCCAATAGCCTTGGATTTACGTGGATCTGTTTGTGAGTTTGGAGTCAGGGCACACCTGCCAGTATCAGATGTCATCCTTAATTTGTCTCTGCAAAGCAGAGGCAAAGAAGTTTGGACTCTCTTGGGACCCCCTTCTTGCAAATGTAGGCATTTGGGAGGCTGCAGGTGGTGCCCATGCCCTCATGCAGGAGCATCCATGTCCATCCAGGACGCCCTGCAATTGCCTCCTGCAAGAGGAGCAGGAAGTGCTCCAGCCTCCCTCTGTGGTTCTCATGCTAGTAGATGTCATGGCAGGTGGTCCAAAGTGGAGATAAACCATGGTCTTTGGAGTCTGAGAGGATTACAGTGCTGCTGGAGCCAGTTAGCTGCAGCTCCCTAGAGAACTTGAAAGAAGGGCAGGGAACTGCTAGAAAGAGTCCAGCACAGAGCCACAAAGATGATGAAGGGAATGGAACATCTCCCTGATGAGGAAAGGCTGAGGGAGCTGGGTCTCTTGTTCTAGTGTGAGATGTCCCTGCTTATGGTAGGGGGGTTGGACTAGATGACATTTAGAGGTCCCTTCCAGCCCAAGACATTCTATGATTCTATGACTCATCAGAGCAGTCTGCCAATACATAAATAGGAGTTCTGTTCTTCACTGGAAAATCTGTCCCTCACAAACAGCAACATATCTGCTGGCTTTGGTTTTCTTGTTTTAAATATTAAACATTAACTGAGGTTTATGGGTTGGTTTTTTGGTTTTGGTTTTGTGTTTTTTTTTTTCAAACAAAATGTAATAAACATTTTGGATATGCTGTATTTTATTTCCATGCTAAAATTCCTTATCTGGCTCAAATGGTGAAGTATGTTGTTTATAAAAGCTGAATATGCAAAGCCAGTTATAACTTAAGTCACATGCCCATTATAGCCTTTTGCTTGTGTAGGATAATTCTGGTTGGAGTGAACACACAAAGTTAATTCCTTCATTCTTTCTGCTTTGTGCAAAGCTAAAAATAACTCAGGTTTACTTAGGGGAAATAACCTCCAGTAGAAAGACATAAAATTTTAATAACCAAACCAGAAAAATATATGTAAACATATCTTAGCTAGATAACGCTCTCCTTAATTTGAAGTAGCATCTGTAGAATTACAACAACTTAGGAGTTCACAGACTTGTTTCTTAGCCACTTGTATATAGGTATCTTGCTTTTCAGGCTTCTGAGAGACTGTGATCATACAGTTTTAGATGTTCCATGTTAAGAGGGTTACTATCCTTAGCATTTAACCAGTTACTCAGCAAAACAAGTTATCTCTTTATATCTCTCAGAAATATACAGAGATTTACTAGCATGACTTCCTGTGCCCCTAATTTGGTCCAAATAATTTTGACAGCAGCTCCAAGGGGTAGGGTGATGTCTTGCATAAGCCCAGAGAGGCCGCATCTGAAATATTGTGTCCAGTTCTGGGCCCTACAGTTCAAGGACAGGGAACTGCTAGAAAGAGTCCAGCACAGAGCCACAAAGATGATGAAGGGAATGGAACATCTCCCTGATGAGGAAAGGCTGAGGGAGCTGGGTCTCTTTAGCTTGGAGAAGAGGAGACTGAGGGGCAGCTTCATCCATGTTTATGAATATGTTAAGGGCGAGTGTCTGGAGGACAGAGCCAGGTCTTTTTTTCAGTGATGTCCAGTGATAGGACAGGGGGCAATGGGTGCAAACTGGAACACAGGAGATTCCACGTAAACATCAGAAAAAACTTACTTACTGTGAGTGTGACAGAGCCCTGGAACAGGCTGCCCAGAGAGGTTGTGGAGTCTCCTTCACTGGAGACATTGAAAACCCCCCTGGACACGTTCCTGTGTGATGTGCTCTGGGTGATCCTGCCTGGCAGGAGGGTTGGACTGGATGATCTTTTGAGGTCCCTTCCAACCCCTAAGATTCTGTGATTTTGTGAACTCTTGGCCAGGACCAGATTTCCAATAATAAATCTTAGCAGTGACACGCAAACCCCAGGATGACAGTGCAGTCACTCAAAGTATGTCTGTGCATGGTAGCAGAGAGAGCTTGGCTTTTACTTTTTATTATTGTAGCTGTATCTCTCTTTGATAAAGGCTGCTTAGCTGCAATTGCAGCTGCCTTAGGTCAACCTTTGTTTTTTCAAGCAACGGTACGAGTGAGTTCAAACAATGATACAGCTTCATCTCCTCTTAGTCTAATTGCCATACTTTTCCAGTTTATTAGTTTCCAAAGGTTGTGCCAAGCTTTTAAAAAAGGTAGGCAGGGGAGCCTTGTCTCCTGCATGCTGCTGGCAGGCTGCCACACCGGGAGGAATATTGCTGGCTGCTCCAGAAAGGGATTAACATGAAGGCATTTTTCCTGACAGTTAACTGTACATATCACAGTCCTTGTGACTAGAGAGGGGCAGGGACCGGGGGTGGCCAGAAGGGAAGAAAAAAAACCCTTCCCTCGATTTATTACTCAGGTATAAAAACATTTAAAATAATGAATCAAATCCTAAAGCTGTAAATCTGGAGTTCAAAAACCAGGCGTGTAACGTGACAGAGAACAATTTAAGCCTCTCTTTGGGAGAAGTGAGACATTTGGAGGACTTAATTTCACAGCCTGATTTTCATTAACCTGCCTTTTAAGACTTGGGATCATTAGAAGTCAAGTCCTCTGCTCCCTGACTGTGAATTACGCCGATACTGTCAAACAGCAACACCCCTGTCACGAGAAATATGTCATTTGCTGCCAGGCAATGGCAGGACCCCTTGAAATGCCTAAAAATAGCTGGTGTTTATGGAGGCTTCGAGCTGCTTGAATTGGGTCTGGTGGTGGCAAGGGATCTGAAAGGCCTGACCTTTTGGGCCAGGATCTGAAAAGTTGGGGCCTTTCTGAGTCTTCCTGTGTTGTGCTCATGGTTTTCAGAGAGGGAGACGAGAAGGTTGTTCATTTGTTTTCCTCCCAAATCAGTTTGCTAAGAGGGTAGTGGATCTGGCCTCTCCTCCCCAAACACACAGTGATTATTTATCTGGTTTATGTTAAAAAATTTTTCCACTCTGCTGGTGTAGATCTGGGGTACTATTGCTCTTCTGTAAAGATCTGCCAACGTGCTAAACCAAAATATACCTTTTTTTCCATAAACAACATTTAGAGCACTGCAGTCTCTCCTTGAGCGGGAAGGGGAGGAGGATGAGGAGATGCTGGGCTGATGGGCTCTCCTTCCTGGCCGTGGGAGCAGATTCCTGCTTCGAGATGCTTGGAGCACAAGGAGCTGTCTCAGCTGGGCCTTAGCCACCCATCTTGCAGAGCATCTTCCCTGCTCTCTAACCTCTCCATTGCATTCCCCCCCACAGATAATAACCGGAGAGCTCTACCGCATCCACTACCTGAAGGAGAAGTCACGTTCCTTTATCCAGAACCCCTACGTGGCTGCTCTCTACAAGCAGGTGGGCTGCTTCGTGTTTGGCTGTGCCATCAGCCAGTCCTTCACAGACATTGCCAAAGTGTCCGTCGGGCGCTTGCGGCCGCATTTCCTGGAAGTCTGCGACTTGGATTTCTCCACCATCAACTGCGCCAAGGGAGTTTACATCCAGAACTACACCTGCAGGGGAAGCGACAGCAAGGTCCAGGAGGCCAGGTGAGAGCCCGTGGTGTCTCAGCCATGGGTCGCTGCCACCAAAATGGTGTCTCCTGCTAAGTATGTCCTGGGGTTTTTCTGCCAGCAGTAGATGATTCAAAGGCTACTTTTTCTGCAAAGACTGTAGCTCAGTCTGGCAGCAACGGGCAGTTTCCCTTGGGAGTCATGGAACCTGGCTGAAGGATGTTTCTTTTCCTTTCTCTTTACTCCTACACTATTGTTTCCCTGAGTGGTTGCTCAATTTGAGAATTCACTGTGAGAGCTGAGCTCATGGTTAGCAGCTTGAGCTGTCCCATGCTGTGGAGCAATGGGCTGAGAAGACAGGCTGAGAGAGTTGGGAAGGTTCAGCCTGGAGAAGAGAAGGCTTCAGAGAGACCTTGGAGCACCTTCCAGTATCTGCAGAGGCTACAGGAAAGCTGGAGAGGGACTTTTGACAAGGGCAGGGAGTGATAGGACAAGTGGGGAGAGTTTCAAGTTGAAAGAGGGTAGATTTAGATTGTATTTTAGGAAAGATTATTTCCTGTGAGGGTGGTGAGACAGTGGCCCAGGTTGCCTGGGGAAGCTGTGGATGGCCCATCCCTGGAAGTGTTCAAGGCCAGGTTGGATGGGGCTGGTCTGGTGGGAGGTGTCCCTGCCCATGCAGAGGAGGCTTGGAACTCGATGGTCTTTAAGGTCCCTTCCAATTCAAACTAGTCTTTGATTCTCCTCCAAAGAGGCTTCATGTTGCCTTTTAAGACTTGGGATCATTAGAAGTCAAGTCCTCTGCTCCCTGACTGTGAATTACGCCGATACTGTCAAACAGCAACACCCCTGTCACGAGAAATATGTCATTTGCTGCCAGGCAATGGCAGGACCCCTTGAAATGCCTAAAAATAGCTGGTGTTTATGGAGGCTTCGAGCTGCTTGAATTGGGTCTGGTGGTGGCAAGGGATCTGAAAGGCCTGACCTTTTGGGCCAAGATCTGAAAAGTTGGGGCCTTTCTGAGTCTTCCTGTGTTGTGCTCATGGTTTTCAGAGAGGGAGACGAGAAGGTTGTTCATTTGTTTTCCTCCCAAATCAGTTTGCTAAGAGGGTAGTGGATCTGGCCTCTCCTCCCCAAACACACAGTGATTATTTATCTGGTTTATGTTAAAAAATTTTTCCACTCTGCTGGTGTAGATCTGGGGTACTATTGCTCTTCTGTAAAGATCTGCCAACGTGCTAAACCAAAATATACCTTTTTTTCCATAAACAACATTTAGAGCACTGCAGTCTCTCCTTGAGCGGGAAGGGGAGGAGGATGAGGAGATGCTGGGCTGATGGGCTCTCCTTCCTGGCCGTGGGAGCAGATTCCTGCTTCGAGATGCTTGGAGCACAAGGAGCTGTCTCAGCTGGGCCTTAGCCACCCATCTTGCAGAGCATCTTCCCTGCTCTCTAACCTCTCCATTGCATTCCCCCCCACAGATAATAACCGGAGAGCTCTACCGCATCCACTACCTGAAGGAGAAGTCACGTTCCTTTATCCAGAACCCCTACGTGGCTGCTCTCTACAAGCAGGTGGGCTGCTTCGTGTTTGGCTGTGCCATCAGCCAGTCCTTCACAGACATTGCCAAAGTGTCCGTCGGGCGCTTGCGGCCGCATTTCCTGGAAGTCTGCGACTTGGATTTCTCCACCATCAACTGCGCCAAGGGAGTTTACATCCAGAACTACACCTGCAGGGGAAGCGACAGCAAGGTCCAGGAGGCCAGGTGAGAGCCCGTGGTGTCTCAGCCATGGGTCGCTGCCACCAAAATGGTGTCTCCTGCTAAGTATGTCCTGGGGTTTTTCTGCCAGCAGTAGATGATTCAAAGGCTACTTTTTCTGCAAAGACTGTAGCTCAGTCTGGCAGCAACGGGCAGTTTCCCTTGGGAGTCATGGAACCTGGCTGAAGGATGTTTCTTTTCCTTTCTCTTTACTCCTACACTATTGTTTCCCTGAGTGGTTGCTCAATTTGAGAATTCACTGTGAGAGCTGAGCTCATGGTTAGCAGCTTGAGCTGTCCCATGCTGTGGAGCAATGGGCTGAGAAGACAGGCTGAGAGAGTTGGGAAGGTTCAGCCTGGAGAAGAGAAGGCTCCAGAGAGACCTTGGAGCACCTTCCAGTATCTGCAGAGGCTACAGGAAAGCTGGAGAGGGACTTTTGACAAGGGCAGGGAGTGATAGGACAAGTGGGGAGAGTTTCAAGTTGAAAGAGGGTAGATTTAGATTGTATTTTAGGAAAGATTATTTCCTGTGAGGGTGGTGAGACAGTGGCCCAGGTTGCCTGGGGAAGCTGTGGATGGCCCATCCCTGGAAGTGTTCAAGGCCAGGTTGGATGGGGCTGGTCTGGTGGGAGGTGTCCCTGCCCATGCAGAGGAGGCTTGGAACTCGATGGTCTTTAAGGTCCCTTCCAATTCAAACTAGTCTTTGATTCTCCTCCAAAGAGGCTTCATGTAGGCAGGGCTGCCAGCACCTCCCCTGTGAACCTCGCCAGCAGAGGCTCAGTTTTGACACTGCCAGGGGCACATTTCACATGGTGCAATTAAGCAACTGGAGAGGTTGTTCGCTTCTTATTTCTTCATGGTTTCCTGGTTATTTAAGGAGAGACGATGAGTTATCGGGCTCTCCTGGAAATAACTGCTGTCCCACGAGCAGACCAGGAAGGGCTGAACAATGGGAGCATCCTGCCCATCCGTTCACCTCCTGCCCGCGCATGAGCGGGGCGGAAAATGGGGGGTTTGTAACCTGAAAGACTGGGGGGTTGTGGGTCCCTCTGCTCTGGCACCCTCTCGGTTAACCTGTTACATGTAAAATTGTGACACTGAAGATTAAAGTGGCTGGTTCTTAGCACTTGCTTTGTTTTGCAGGAAATCCTTCTTCTCGGGGCATGCGTCCTTCTCCCTCTACACCATGCTGTACTTGGTGGTAAGTACCTCAGCCCTGCTTCAGCCTGAGCTGCTTGATCCCCTGCTCCCCTTCCCCAAGGTGCTCACCTGTGTTGGGCAGCGATAGCGGCGCGATGAGCATTGGAGGCAGGGGAGATTGGGTGAAAAAAAGGAGCCTGAACATGCTGGTGATGGAAAGATCCACTCTTGGCCCCTGAGGGGTTATTTGGAGATTCCTGGGGCGATGGCTGAGCTGTGCAGCTTTGGGATTTAGCCAAGGCTGCAATTAAATCCGAATTCTACTAAATCTGTGCAGGTTTGTTCACCCCGCATTGTTGTTTCCACTGGGGAGAGTTCAGGGCAAGCCAAACCCCTGCACTGATGGAGGGGGAAGATGGGCAGTCACGGCTCTGTCAGGGGTGAAGGCAGGTTCCCAAACGTGCCAGCTGAGCAGGTGGAGCAGCCTCCTGCCTGCCTGGAACTGGAGTGAAGGGCTGGGACTTGTTTTTCTTTGTCAGTGAGAAATGGCTCTGCCCTTCCTGCGCCGGGGCTGGGGCCGGGGCAGCTGCCAAGGTGCTTCCTGCCGGGCTGCAGGAGGCAGAGGCTGCCCGCCCCCCCTGGGGCTGCACCCACCCACAGCCT